GGGAGGACCAGCAGCCCAGGGCTGAGTGCGCAGAGCAACCCAAGAAGGGGCCTCTGGGCCAACCAGCCCCTGTCCCACCTGGGAAGGCCAGCCTTGGTTGGTGGAAGCGGTGCTACTGCTCTCCCCTTGGTTTCAGATACGACAACATGGCCGAGCTGTTCGCTGTGGTGAAGACTATGCAAGCCCTGGAGAAGGCCTACATCAAGGACTGTGTCAACCCCAATGAGTAAGTGTGTGAAGGCCTCACGGCAAGTATAATAGAAAGACACGAGTTGGGTGGGATCTTGGAGGTCCTCTAGTCCAACCCCCTCTCAAGCAGGGGACCCTGTACCATTATATGTACGGAGGAGGAAGGAAAATGGAGAGAACAGGCCTGTTGCCCAGAGAAAAACCTCCTGAAATGAAGGACCAGGTGGTGATCCTGTCCGGTCTCCTCAGATGCTTCTAGAGATCGGGGTGGGATCTGATAGGAGAGCCCAGTCTTTCCCGGGGGACACTCACCGAAGGACTCAGAGCAATTAAGAGACAGCGCAAATTAACCCCCTTCTTTGATGGATCATTAGACTTCCAGCAGCCTGGAGGTATTCTTGTCAGCCTGCTCCATCTGTGGCAAGGCAGGCAGTCCTTGACTTACGGCCACAATTGAGCCCAATGTTTCTGTTGCTAAGCGAGACATTTGTTAAGTGACTTTTGCCCCAATTGACTTTTCCTGCCACAGTTCTTAAATGAATCACCGCAGTTGTTAAGTTAACCATACGGTCGTTAAGTGAATCCCCCATTGACTTTGCTTGTCAGAAGGTCACAGAAGGGGATCACGGGACCCCGTCATAAGTACGACCCCGTTGCCATTTTGATCAGGTGACCGCGGGGAATGCTATGAGGGTTGGAAGTGTGAAAAATGGGGATAAATTGTAATTTCAAACGGTCGCTAAACAAACGGTTGTAAGTCAAGGACTACTTCTACAAACTTAGTTCTCACCAGCCACTGCCCAGGAGGGACAAGACTACACATACAAATAAATATTTTAAATATTTTGTTACTGTTTTAACTGGCTGTATTTTTAAAGGGATTTTATGTTTTTTAAACTTTAATTGGGAGCTGCCCAAAATTGGCTGAAAGGTGGGCGGCCATAATCAGTGTTTTAAATAAAAGACCCCTCCTTTTTGCTGAAGGGGGCACGATGGCTCAGCAGTTAAAGCTGCCAGCCTGGGTTCGAGACCCGAGCACCATGCACTGGGCTGAGTTCCCCTTACTTGCCTCAGTTCCTGCCCACCTAGCAGTTCTAAAGGATGCAAATGCGAGCAGATAAATAGGTACCACTAGCACATGGGTCGGCAACCCACGGCTCCGGAGCCACATGTGGCTCTTTAAGCCTTCTCCTGCGGCTGCCAGTCCTCCGCCATTTGCAGAGAGAGACACACAGGCACTTGCGCTTCCCTTCTCTCTCTCTCTCTCTCTCTGTGTGTGTGTGTGAAAGAGACTGGCCTCACGCTGTTCTCCGACAAGCTTATTGGGCGGGGCTCCTTTGCTGTGTCTACACAGAAAGCAGCAGCGCTCTCTCTCACACCCACACATACACACACTCTCACACACACACACACTGAGTGGGGGAAGAGGATTGGCAGACCAAGGTCAGGAGAGAGCCAGCCCAATAAGAATGTCAGCTTGTCGGAGAACAGCGTGAAGCCAGTTTGCCAGGTGAGCAGAAGATCGGAGACGGGGGGGGGGGGGGAGAGAACATGCACAGTAGCTTCTATTTCTTTTTAATTAAACTCTTCAGTCAAGCTCCTGCCCTCTGGCGTGCGTGCACGCACGGGTTTTGCGGCTCCCATTGTTTTTTTTCCCTGTGGGAAACGGGTCCAAGTGGCTCTTTGAGTGTTTAAGGTTGCCGACCCCTGCACTAGCAGTTCTAAAGCATGCAAATGCAAGCAGATAAATAGGTACCACTACCGTTTTTCTCCAAAATTAAGACCCGGTCTTAGTTGACCATCATTGACCACATGACCATCGAAATTGTCTTTGGACAACGGTTGGCCAAGAAACACAGATAAGCACGCACGCACGCACACACCAGAGTCGGACATGGGTGGACGGGGAAGTCTTGACCTCCCCCCCCATTGCTGCTCACTTTGTGCCCCTCCCTTCCTGGCAGGTACACAGCCGCCTGTTCTCGCCTCCTGGTCCAGTACAAGGCCGCCTTCAAGCAGGTGCAAGGGCTGGAGATCAACTCCATCGATGACTTTTGCCGCAGGTTTCGAGTAAGAGATCAAATGGGGGGGTGTTGCATGAAAGAGCGCCTGTGCTCCGCCCAGTGACGGAGGGAGGGGGGCCAGGCCTGTTCAGGGGAAGTGGGGGGGGAATCTCTCTGAGAAGCAGCCCCTCTTTCCCTTCCCAGCTCGACTGCCCGCTGGCCATGGAGAGGATCAAGGAGGACCGGCCCATCACCATCAAGGACGACAAGGGCAACCTCAACCGTTGCATCGCGGACATCGTCTCGGTAGGTGTTGGGGGGGAGACCCCGGGGGGGCATTCTTCGTAGGATGCATCCGGCCAGGTGCCTGACCGGGGCGGCTTTCTCTCTCCCTCTCTTCTCTCTCCCAGCTCTTTATCACCGTGATGGACAAGCTGCGCTTGGAAATCCGGGCCATGGATGAGGTGAGCAAAGCGAGGTGGGGTCCTCGTCCCCCCAATCGACTCTGGGGGGAATAGCCTGAGCCTCCCCCCCCCCCGGCTGCTCCCTGGCCCTCAAGCCACAACGTTCAGGGAGGGGGTTGCGAAAAGGGTTACCTCTGCCCGTGTACAAGCAGGGTCTGTGCCCCGTTCCTCCAAATCCAATAATTCCCTTCTTTCCATCCTTCCCTCACTTTCCCTTTCCTCTCCCTCCCTTTTCCTTCCTTCCCTTCTTTCCTCACTTCCCTTCCTGCCTCCTTCCTTCCATCCTTCCTTCTGCACTTTTCCCTTCCTTCCTCTCCCTCCGACTTTTCCCTTCCTTCCTCCCTCCCCTTTTCCTTCCTTCTTCCCTTCCTCCCTCCTTTTTCCCTTCCTCTCCCTCCGACTTTTTCCTTCCTTTCCTCCCTCCCTCCTTCCTTCCTTTCCTTTCTTCCTTCTGCACTTTACCCTTCCTTCCTCTCCGACTTTTTCCTTCCTTTTCTCCCTTTTCCTTCCTTCCCTTCCTTCCTTTGCTCCCTTCCCTTCCTGCCTCTTTCCTTTCTTCCATCCTTCCTTCTGCACTTTACCCTTCCTTCCTCTCCCTCCGACTTTTCCCTTCCTTCCTCTCCCAGACTTTTTCCTTCCTTCCTTCCTTTCCTTTCTTCCTTCTGCACTTTTCCCTTCCTTCCTCTCCGACTTTTTCCTTCCTTTTCTCCCTTTTCCTTCCTTCCCTTCCTTTGCTCACTTCCCTTCCTTCTGCACTT